CCACCACCTATAAGTAACGAGAGTTGGAAGAGAGAACTATCTCATACCAGACTTCTCTTATGTGCAACCTTGCTATTTTCTACTTGTGTTATGCTTATAGTGTACTTTACTCCGAGACAAGTTACTTCTACGAGGAGCAACAAGATTGGCAAGAAGTGAATGATATAGAAATGATCGGAGCTGATTCAAAATATGTACCAAATCATGTCCCGTTTTCTATGGTGGAACTCCCTTCTAATCTTAGTGAACCTAGAATAACCCTACCTCAGAAGTTTCAAGGCACCTGATCCAGTTTTAGAGGATTTATCAATCAAGTACAACTTGTGATTGAACTTCAACTCCAAAGCCTTCGAATTCCAGGATTGCAAGTTAGATTCATTGGTATCCTTCTTTCAGGTTCAATATTATCATGGTTTTCATCTTTTCTTGAATGAAGATGTCATACTATAATTGCTTATAGTATGTAAAAATTAATTAAGACATATAATATGTTTGTAAGTCTTGATGTAGATTAGAGTGGTTAGTAAATAAATTTAAAGAGAATTGATATAAGAAAATTTATTTGGAGATTTATCTATTTTTATTATAGTATTTATATTATGTAGGATTTAGATATTTAGTATAAAGCTTAAGAGAAGGTTGGAGTCTAAAGATGAAAGTCTAAAATATTACGAGGCTAAATGAGAGGGATGAAAGCAAGGTATGGTTGAATGAAGGTAAGGGGTGAAGACCTTCATCCCTATTGGTCGAATGTCATGCCCAATGGGATTCAAGGAGGCTGCCCAAGGCCTTATTAGGGATTAGGGTTTTATTTTTAGGAACATTCGAGCTTTGGAGGCTAGGGTCAGCAAGTTCAAGGTTTTGGATATAATTTGGGTGAAGAATTTGTATGATTTCGAGATTTTATGAAGGAGATATAGGTGTTCAAAGTTAAGGTATCAAATTTGTATCTACTATCATTCTTTGAAGCATAACATATGCGTACAGAGAGCAATGAAAGATCAGTAATTAGAATTCAAGACAATACTTTTTTAACTACACTTTACATATATTATTTGATAAATTCCAAGTTTGGATGAAGGAGCTATAGGGCATTGAAGACAACACATGTAATTCAAAGGTAGTAAATTAGTTATTTAATTGATAGTAATGGTTGGAGCCATATCTTGAGTTTTTGGATGAATCTATAGCTCAAAATTTTCATAAATATGAGTTATTAAGTTAAGAAGCTATAGATCAAAGTTTCATGGTATTTAAAATACTTATTTTGTGATATATAAAGAAAATAGCATGTGAGTGTATGTAAGCTAGGATTTAAAACTATTATTAGGATTTGGGTGATATCTCAAAATTTGTAACGAATTTGTAATTGAATTTTTTTTGTGATAGTTTTTGAAAGTATATCAGTAATTCATGTGAAATTTTAAGTTGGTTAGACAGTCCAATCATGAGATATGAGCTGTTGAAGATCAAAAAACATTTTTCATAAGGATATATAAGATTTTAAGATACTTTATCATACATTTGGGTGTTTTTTTGGTACTTGGGCTTGTCTATTGATGTAATTGCCCTAAAAGAGAAAATATTATATATATAAACTTAGTACTTTTATATCTTAGACTTGATTGTGTATTTAGTAGCAGCCAAGAGCCTAGCGCTTTTTTGAGGCAAATTCTCTGTATTCCGACAATGAGATCTAATATTGGATAATCTGGAGGCTTTTTTGGTAGTGTTTTGATCCATGTATAGAGAACATCATACAATTCGTATTGCAACCAAGAAGATCCATATTTTACAATAGAACAATCAATTAGTAATGTTGTATGCTTCATAATTTTGAGAACTTGTAACTGATATCAAGTGGGATGATTCGACACTTGTTAGCCAATTCATGTACAATTTATAATATGAGGTAAAGAAATTAATACTCAACTTACTTGATCCTCTAATATTGAGTCAAGCAATTGACTTTACTATGAAGTATGACAGTTGTCTTTTTGAATTTTGATTTGGAAACTAGATAAGTGGACCTCATCATTACTATAATTTAATGAAAACACCAACATCTCTTCAATACATACATTTGAAAGTAAACAATATGCAAATAAATGCAGTATGTTTCAAACCTCTTTTTGAGCAAGAAAATGTTGCGAAAAGAACTCTTTAAGTAGTTGCTAATGGTCAATAGAATACAAGTGTTGTTAGGGATAACCCATAAGGTTAGGTGCTGGTCTATAGTGCATTAGAGTACAAGGGGAGGGCTGGTCCTAAGAGATATCCCATATGGGTTGTAGCACTTGGTACCTTGATACTAGTATATAAGGAAAGGGTTGGCATGGGAAGAATTATCTCATACCACACTCTATTTGTTAAAGTGCAACCTTGCTGGTCCTAACTTACTTGTGTGGAGTATGCTTTCTATGTTTCAACAGGTTATGGGCCCACATTCTCTTACAAAGTAAGTTGTTCTTGCATTATTTCTTTGTTGCTTGTTTTTGGTGGTTGAGATCTTATGGTAGATTATTGCTAGTGAATTGTTGAAGTCATTGCTCTTGGATTTGTGAGTGTATGAGCTAAGTGCAAGACCTTCATAGTGTCTTTGCTGAAAGAGCACTAGTATTTGAGAGTTCTATGAGAAAGTGAGTCTTTTTGAATGAAGTGACGTTAGAGAGACGTTTGAAAGTCATAAAATCACATTACAAACCATTCCTTATCATTTAGACGTAATTTGGACTCAAAATATGCAAAAAGTTGCAAAACAACGAATTTTGGATTTGTAGTTCAGCAATCTTTGAGTAGTCATATCTTTTGCATTACAACTCCAAATCAAGAGTTTTTTTGACCTACTTGTAGCTTGAAATGGCATCTTCTAGGGTGATAGCTTAAGAGTTGTTGAAAAGTTTAGAGGTGACAACTTTCACCACTGGAAGGCCAAAATGGAGCTACTTTTGGCGTCATTGGATCTTTGAGAGATAGTAGATGAGGAGGAACTTGCACCTGGGGTAGAGGCAAGCATCAAGGAGCAAAAGGACTTCAAAAGATGAGAGAGGAATGCTTTGGCATAATTGCCACTAATTTAGATGAAAGCTGTTGAGGTAAAAGATAAAGATGAATAGATAATAGTTAAAGTAGAATAAGTTACCTCATAAAGGATATTATCTTAGGTAAGTTGCTAATGGTCAAAGGTTTGACTCTTGGCATATAGAAAAAGCATCCTATGGACATAGGATGCAGTCAAGGACAAAGACTCAAAGTCAAGAGGATAAAGTGTGTCCTAAGAAATATCCAAAGAACTAGGTAAGAGTAATTAGTATATCGCATAGGATACCCTCGTGGTATGAGCTCAAGGATCCAAGGAGCATATGTGTAAAAGTCCAATGGTGGAAGAAGTCCTTTTAGGGCAGCAACCACCACCTATAAGTAACGAGAGTTGGAAGAGAGAACCATCTCATTCCACACTTCTCTTATGTGCAACCTTGCTGATTTCTACTTACTTGTGTTATGCTTATAGTGTTCTTTTCTCAATAGGTTATGGGCCCACACATTATTTGTTGTGCTATTCAAGTAAGTTGAAGTCATTTTTTCTTTGTTGCTTTTGTGTGGATTAGATCTTATGGTATTTGGTGATGTTAGGTTTGTTGGTATAAGGAGGCTATTGGTATTAAGCTTGTACATCTCTAACAATACTTTGTGGGTTCTTATCTCCTTACTTTGTGAGGTTAAGACTTTGTAGAAAGACCTTGAGAGTGTCTTTTGAGTTGGTGAAGTTTCTTCATTATTCTTGAGTGTTTTGATGAAAAAGTGATTAAGACGAGTGATTGTGAGTTTCATGAGGGTGCAATTACTTCTAGAAAGCTTCACAAGTTTAGTTGAAAGTGTTTTTTGTGAGATACCACTCTTATGTTCATAACATGGCATTATGAGATTCTGCTAGTGCAAACTTTGTTTGTTGATTTTAAGCTTATAGAGACTCCTTTTTTCAATATTATTTGATACCCTCCTCCTTACACATGGCTTCTAGTGAGGGTGAAGATTTGAGAGTGATTGAGAAGTTTAGAGGCAACAATTTCTACTATTGGAAGGTCAAAATGGAGCTTTTGTTGGCATCTTTGGACCTTTGGGACATTGTAGATGAGAGTGAAGACCCTCCAAGCATAGATGCAAGCCCTTAGGACCACAAGGACTTCAAAAGACATGAAAAGAAGGCTTTTGGCACAAATTTAGATGAAGCCAACTTTTCTCACATTATCCATTGCAAAGGACCAGCGAAAGCATGGAAGACACTTCGCAACATATACGAGAGCAAGAACTTGTCCAACATCTTCTTCACAAGAAGGAAATTCTTCACTTGTAAGATGGAAGAAGGTGAAGACCTCATGGCACATGTTAATAAGGTAAAGGCCCTTACAAATCAACTAGCAATTGTTGATAAGCCTTTAGAAGATGGTGACATTGTCATGACTCTACTCATGAGTCTTCCCGAGTCCTACAACTACTTCATTATAGCATTAGAGTCTTTGAGGTTGAAAGAGCTTACAATAGACTATGTGACATCAAGACTTGCACATGAAGTAACTAAAAGGAAAGAGAAGGAGCATCAAAGTGAAGATTCAGCTCTCTTCTCAAGACAAGGCAAAGATACCTATTCCAACCAACGTGACAATGTGAGAAGCAATGTAAGAACTTGCTTCATTTGTGGAAAACCGGGTCATTTTACACGAAATTGCTACAAGGCCAAGAAAGAAAATAGAGAAAATGCTAACAATGCATGTGATGAAGTTGGTAGAGATGATTATGCATTCATGGCAATTGAAGGCACGTCTATGGCTGCCATGTCCAAATGGAACATTAATTCGGGTGCTACTAAGCACATGACTCCATACAAGTGTTCATTTGACACTTATGAGACTATTCCAACAACAAAAGTATGGTTAGGAGATAATGGTATGGTGCAAGCCATTAGAATTGGCTCCATTGTGGTGGAGATTGTTGTGAAGAATCAAATGAAGAAGATCAGATTGAAAGAAGTGTTACATGTGCCAAAGATAAAGAAGAACCTTCTTTCGGTGAGTAAACTTGTTTCTCATGGTTGTAAGGTGCAATTTGATATGAATGGATGCTTTGTGAAGACAATGGATGGAGATAATCTTTTGAAAGGCTTTAGAGATGGCAATCTCTACTTCATCAATTGTAAGAAGGTGAATGGAGTTGAAGTGGCGGCATTTGCTGAATTTCCACAAGTTCAAGACAAGTTTGGCATTTGGCATCGACGCCTTGGTCATTTGAATGCCAAAAGTATGAAGGAGCTCCAATCCATGGTTAGTGGCTTAGATTTCGGTCAAACATGCACAAATCTAACTTGCGAAGGTTGTATTCAAGGCAAACAACAAAGAGCTTCATTTCCAAGTGGAGTTGCAACACATGCAACCAAATCGTTGGAGATTGTGCATTCTGATGTTTGTGGACCTATGACGACACCATCAATGGCAGGATCAAGGTAGTTTGTTACATTTATTGATGACTTTTCAAGGAAGGTGTGGATTTTCATCCTTAAATCCAAGAGTGAATGCTTTTCAAAGTTTAAGGAATTTAAGGAACTTGTGGAGAAGCAATGTGAGTGCAAGATCAAGGTATTGCATACAGACAATGGAGGTGAGTATTTGTCAAAGCATTTTGATGAGTATTTGAAGATTCATGGTATTGCAAGACAAACTTCCACTCCCTATACTCCACAACAAAATGGAGTTGCTGAAAGAGAAAATCGAACTATTGTGGAGATGGCAAGGAGTATGATTCATGCTCAAAACCTAGGGCATGAATTTTGGGCGGAAGCTGTGGTGAATGCAATGTATACAAGGAATAGGTGTCCTACAAATGCACTTACATCAATGACTCCACAAGAAGCTTGGAGTGGGAGGAAACCTTGTGTTTCACACATGAGGACTTTTGGATGCATTGCTTATGCAAAGGTACCAGATTGTATGCAGTCCAAATTTGATGCAAAAGGTACAAAATGTGTATTTCTTGGATATTGTGAAGGTACCAAGGCATATACGCTAATGTGTTTGGATACCAAGAAGATCATCAAAAGTCGTGATGTTGAATTTGTGGAGCATAAAAGTGCTTGTGAGCACTTGGAGATGTGTCCAAGTGGGAGTAATGGTATGTTTGTGGATACATCTTCAATTTCAGCAACGAAAGAAGAAGAAGAAGATGAAGACAATGGAGATAGTGGATACATGAAAAATCCAAGAAGATGAAGAAGAAGAAGAAGAAGAATGTGTATACAATTGGGTTGACAACCAATGAAGAAGTTGAAGACGATGATGATGATGATGAGGAATACCAACCTTTGAGTGAGAAGAGACAAGGTTCAAAAGAAAAGAAGGTTGAAGAGCATCAAGGTGAATCTTCTTCAAATGATAGGAGATATCCCACAAGAGAAAGAAAACAACGTGGTGAATGGTGGAAGGACCACATCTTTCCTCAAGTAAGTGAAGAACATGCCAATGTTGCACTCCTTGCTGATCCATTGAATATATGTGATGCTATGAAGTCTACGAATGCGTTGAAGTGGGAGGAGGCTATGGAAGAAGAGTACAAATCTCTCATGAGCAGTGGAACATGGGAATTGACTCAACTTCCACCAAATCGATCTTCAATTGGTTGTAAGTGGGTGTTAAGAACCAAGAGGGATGCAATGGGTGATATTGTGAGATATAAGGCAAGGCTAGTTGCCAAAAGATACTCACAAGTTGCTGGTGTTGATTTCAATGAACAATTTGTTCCCGTGGCTAAGTTCACCACCATTAGAACCATTGTGGCAATTGGGGCAGCAATGGACTTGGAGATGCATCAAATGGATGTGAAGACGGCTTTCTTGAATGGAGAGTTGGAAGAAGACATCTACAGGGATCAACCTCAAGGATTTGTAGAAGAAGGCAAGCAACATCTTGTTTGTAAGTTGAAGAAATCTTTGTATGGACTCAAGCAATCTCCAAGGGCATGGTATCAAAGAATTGACACATTCTTTGTTAATGAGGGATTCCAAAGAAGTGAGGCTGACCATTCTATGTATGTGATACAATCAAAAGAGTTCTTGATGATTGTTATTCTTTATGTAGATGATTTAATCATCTTAACTAATACTTTAAAGATGATGGATTGGTTGAAAGCAAAGTTAGAAAAGGAATATGAGATGAGTGATTTGGGAGAGCTTCACTAATGCTTAGGAGTGGAATTTGCAAGAGATCGTACTAACAAGACCATCACAATGAGCCAAAGGAAGTACATTGAAGGAGTGTTGAAACGATTCAACATGGAGGATTGCAAGCCTATTAGAACACCTTTGGAGTCCAATTTGAAGTTGATGAAGCTCATAGATGAAGAGTTTGCACAAGTTGAAGGCCAAATGCAAGGTGTTCCATACAAGGCAGCAATTGGGTCACTCATGTATGCAATGGTTGATACAAGGGTGGATCTTGCTTATGCGGTGAGTGTCGTTAGTCAACACATGTCAAAAGCAAGACCAATTGATTGGGCAACCATCAAGAGGATCATGAGGTACTTGAAAGGCACTTTGGACTTCAAATTGTGCCTTCGAGGTGAAAGTATTGCTTTGCATAGTTATTGTGATGCGGATTGGGTTGGAGATGCAAATGATAGGCAGTCAAAAATGGGCTATGTATTCTTTGTTGGAGTGGGAGTAATTTCATGGAATTGCAAGAGGCAACCCACACTTATAAGGTCCACAATGGAGGCGAAGTACATGGCAGCAAACTAGGGTGCAATGGAAGCAACATGATTAAGGCAAGTTTTGGAGGACATTGGACTTGTGCAATTAGAAGCAACTCCATTGAATTATGACAATCAAGGACGCCTTGCTTTTGTAAAGAATCCAAAGCATCAATCAAGAATCAAACACATTGACATTCAACATCACTTTATAAGAGAGAAGATTGAAATGGGAGTGATTGACTTGAAGTATTGTGCAACAAAAGATATGCTTGCTGATTTGTTAACAAAGGCATTGGTCAAAGATAGACATCATATGTTGACAAAGGCATTAGGTTTGAAGGACTTTGACAATTAGCAAAGTGGGAGTGTTGAGGTAAAAGATAAAGATGAATAGATAATAGTTAAAGTAGAATAAGTTACCTCGTAAAGGATATTATCTTAAGTAAGTTGCTAATGGTCAAAGGCTTGACTCTTGGCATATAGAAAAAGCATCCTATGGATATAGGATGCGGTCAAGGACAAAGAGTCAAAGTCAAGAGGATAAAGTTTGTTCTAAGGAATATCCAAAGAACTAGGTAAGAGTAATTAGTATATGGCATAGGATACCCTCATGGTATGTAAGATGCCATAGGATCCTAGGATCCTTGGATACCCTCGTGGTATGAGTCAAAGGATCCAAGGAGCATATGTGTAAAAGTCAAATGGTGGAAGAAGTCCTTTTAGGGTAGCAACCACCACCTATAAGTAACGAGAGTTGGAAGAGAGAACTATCTCATTCCACACTTCTCTTATGTGCAACCTTGCTATTTTCTACTTGTGTTATGCTTATAGTGTTCTTTTCTCCATACAATTTACTTCTACAAGGAGCAACAAGATTGGCAAGAAGTGAAGATATAGAAATGATTGGAGCTGTTTCAACATATGTACCAAATCATGTCCCGTTTTCTATGGTGGAACTCCCTTCTAATCTTAGTGAACCTAGAATAACCCTACCTCAGAAGTTTCAAGGCACCTGATCCAGTTTTAGAGGATTTATCAATCAAGTACAACTTGTGATTGAACTTCAACTCCAAAGCCTTCGAATTCCAGGATTGCAAGTTAGATTCATTGGTACCCTTCTTTCAGGTTCAACATTATCATGGTTTTCATCTTTTCTTGAATGAAGATGTCATACTATAATTGCTTATAGTATGTAAAAATTAATTAAGACATATAATATGTTTGGGACATTGTAGATGAGAGTGAAGACCCTCCAAGCATAGATGCAAGCCCTAA